CCCACATGACTAGATCACCCAAGAAGCCATGTTTGGTGGACCATTGTGCGGTTGAACTAACAGCTTTTTTCTCCTACACAAAGTTGATTATAATTAATAAATAAGCTTAGACACAAATAAGTTTATGGACAGTCTCTTCCTTACTGAAAGTTTTATCAAAATAAAATTATGACAGAAAGCTACTTTCAAAACATTTTACATGAATAATATTAATGAAAGTACTGATGAATTATTTAAGATTATTTTAAAAGTAGATTTAAAAATTTGTCATCTCTTCCTTAACTCTGTCATATCTATAGCAAGCATCCAGTTTGAATAAAAGATGTAGATTGTGATAGGTTAACAAATAATGTAAATTTTGTCAAATTTTATTATATGAATTTCTTTAAAAAAATTATTTTTAGAAAATGATTGGAGAAAAAGTTACCCATTTCTCGTTCAAAATGGATTAAAAAACCTTTCAAAACTAGCTCAACGATCGTGGAGTACTTTCGTGTGAGTCGATTTGATTATAAGTGAACAAACAGAGGACTCGAATTCAATTTGAGCCTAATTTAATTGTGGAAATTAAGTTCTATATTAGATTTCGAGTCGATATATTGAGCAAGCATGTTTATCTAAGGTTGAAAACAACATAAGGCTATTTTCAAATATTTTGATTGGAATACTTTATTTTACTAAAGTTTAATGACAGTAACTTACTTATTCTAATTTGGATTAATATCTTATGTATTTACTTATAAATTAACTTTTTAAGCTCAAAATAAAATGTGAATTAGACCAGAGAATCCATATAAAATAGATTAACTTATAGATTAATGTCGGCATCTAGATGATTGATTAATTAATTTCTTGAGTATTAAATTAGAATTTTTCGCGTTCATACCTCCAACAATTTCATTTTCATTAAGTGGCACATGCATGAAAAAATAATGTAGTACTTATTTAGATCCAGCTTATAAGTTGATAAATTATTTTATAAGCACAAAAAAAGGAAAATTATGATTAAGACGAAAGGAGAATAAGCAATATGCACGTTGGTTTAATAGAAATGGGACTTATTTTACTTATTATTTTTAAGCAAATTTAAACATGGATGGATTCAGGACCGGATTACAGGCCTGCCAAATACGTAAAAAATAAAAAAATAAAAAATTACACAAGAAAATTATTTTGGATTAATCTAGTTGTACATAATCATCTACATAATGGTGATGTGTCAATCATCTATTTATTGATGTGTAAGTGTGAAAATTGAATTAAAGGCAGGATCACATGACACGTGTAATTATGTGAACCATTATGTGAATGGTTATGTACATGTAGCATTATCCAATTATTTTTTACAATCATTGTTAATTAAGAATAAAATAGAAAGTCTTTTGGAACTTATTTTTAAGTATTGACTCTCTAAATTATAAAGTATTTTACGTTTAGAGAGTCTTTTGAAAATACTATAAATAGTACTAATGGTGCATTTGATTGTCAGTATTTTTCATGAAAAATATTTTTTTATTTTTGTTCACATGACCATATTTTCCTTAAAAATAACATATTTTCCTTAAAAATAAGGAAAACATTTTCTTTAAGGAGATATGATTTTTATTTTCCAGATAATTCGCTCTTTCCTTCCCTCTTTCATTTATCCCTCTTTTATCCACCCACCAATAAAAATTGGACAAGTATGATATTTTCTAAATTGAAAACTAAATTAATCAATCACATTTAATTAATATTTTCCATACAAATAAATTATAAACAATTGAATTGTCTAAAATTTATTTTTTATCGTACAAATTTTATGATCGCAATCAAACGCACCTTAATTGTATTGAACCGTTGAATTGATTTTTTATACTCCGACACTATTAGTTTTATCAGAGTTGACTGGCTGTTTCGTGCCAAACAAGTTGTAAAGTCACATGAAAGTCATTCTCATGAAAATCACCGTATTTTTCGGTATAGTCTCAATTCTCTTTTTAACTTTTCCATCCTACCAAAGAGCAATTGTTCTAAAGAACCGGCTTAGTTTAATTAATTACATTAAACCGTACAATATTAATTAATTACACAACACTCAAACAATAATTGTACCTGCCAGTACGCCTATCTGTACCTCGCAATAGCCTTTGTGTGTATGTACCCCTCACCCACCCCACGCCACTGCATCTGCTATTTAAACCCACGATCTCTCTTTAAATCTCCAAAAGCTCTTTTCTCTGTAAACGAAACTGAAAACAATTCTGAAAAGTCCTTGAAAAAATGAAGAGATTGATACGGAGGCTAGCAAGAGTGGCAGATTCTTCACAGTACAATCTTTTGCGATCGGAGTCGAGGACGAGGAGTCGACCGACTGTGTCTTTCAGGAGGAGCGGTGGTGTGCCGGAGGGACACTTGCCGGTGTATGTAGGCGAGGAGATGGAGCGCTTCGTCGTTAGTGCCGAGCTTTTGAATCACCCGATTTTTATAAAGCTTCTGAATAAATCGGCGCAAGAGTATGGTTACGAACAAAAAGGTGTTTTGCGGATCCCTTGCCATGTGTTCCTCTTCCAACGAGTGTTGGAGTCTCTGAGCATCAATGGCGGAGCTGAAGATTCGAATGACATCCAGGATCTCCTGAATTATCTCTCCGATGAATTCCGGTAGCGAAAACAAATCAAAGGAAAAATAATTCGAGAGATTAACAGAATGATGATAATTGTTTTACAGTTAGAACATTTTTTTCTTCTCCTTTTGTAAATACGTTGTGATCATTAACGAATTAAGTGGAGGAGCATCAGGTTAAACGGAATGATATTGAAAAATGCATCTTTTTTTCCTAATTTTAGTATAATATATCGATAAATTCAAGATTATATGCCGATTGAGTGCATAGTTATAATTCTTCATGTATTTTTATATATTTTCCATTTTGTTCGCTCTCTTTCAAAATTTCGGCGGCGACGGATAGTATTGCGATGGTATTAATATAATGTTTTTAAGAATAAATTTGGTAAAAAGTAATATTTTTGGAGAGTTTATAGTTAAAAGGTAAGAAAAGTTATGGATTATGAATGTAACTCTAAATAAATCGAAAATAAATAAATTAATTAAAGAATGTGTACCAGACATGAGTTATAGACTAACAGCCGGTTAAGTGCCTCGGGAAAACTCTCATATTTGAAACATTATGTAAGAAATACTCCCTACCGTTCAATGCCGTTACTTTTACCGTTAAAATTAGTAAAAATTAAAAATGAATAATTACAATTGTGATCTTAAATTTTTTTATTTTTTATTTACAAGTTACACCAAAATCTTTTATTTATACCACTTATATTCCCAAATCTTTAAAACTTATCTTCCACCCACTCGCACCCCCACCCACCACATCCCACCCCAAACTAAACAAAAAACTTACAAAATTCTTCCCCCATTTTTAGTCCTCTCTCAATGGATCAATTGAAGCAATTGGATCATGACTCAGTGTTGTATGTGACTGCATTGAATTGAACATGGTTGAATCGGTGGATTGGAGCACAGTAGATTGGCCAATTGGAATGGGGGAGCTGTCGTTCGTTCGCGCAAGAACGGGGCAAACTTTGAATCTGAAATTGTGACGATTTCTAGAGCAATTGATGAAATTGGAATGTTACACATGGTTGAAGGGACCTGATTAAGACTCGATTGATGATAATTTGTTGATTTAATGTCGCACGAAACACGAATTGAAGTAGGCAAATTCAACTTCGCGACTGCTGGATCTGTTTGACCATCATTAGAATGAAATGGTGCTTTATTAGTTGATGTTGGGTCATAATCCTGATTGTCTAGATGATGGCTATCAATAGGTGGTGGTGCGCGACCGTGGGTATCGCCGGAGATGGATTTTCTGGCAGAAGAGGGGTGCACGACATTGGGTTTTTGGATTGCGATTTCTGCTGATTTTTGTTGTTTCATGGCTGGCAGTTGGTTGGAGGCTGTAGAGGAGAGTGAGACGAGACTGTTGGTGGTGGGATCCAGTTGTCTTGGTGGCCAGAAAGTGGTGATACGAGGCTCTATAAGTTTATTGCAAAAGTTTAATGTTTCCTACCTAAAGTTTCATTTCTTTTTCTCATTCCAAATAAAGTTTTAAATGTTTGAGATTGTGGGTAGTACATAAAAAAAATCTGGGTACAATTTGTAAAAGAATACAAAATTTAGATACTAAAAATACAATTATTACTTTTTAATTTTGACATTTTTACTGTTGTTAACGGAAAATCTGACGGTATGGGGGTATTTCGCACAAAATGTTTCAAATATGGGATTTTATGCGATTTTCAATAGGTATGAGGTATATTGCAATTGAAAACATTTTTAGGAAGGTTTTCTGCTATTAATCCAAAAAAAAAAAACCGTGATTCTATATTTAGTAATTAACCCCTGTTTAAAAGTGATTATTTAAAAATTACTTTTTTTAACAACAAATTTTATAAAAATATCCATTGTTTGAGATTATAATTTTTAGAATAACGTTTTTTTTTTAAAGAATGTGTTGTTAACAATGAAGAATTATTATTGTTTATTTACGTGTAATATTATTTTATTGGAATTTGTAGTCGATAAGTAGAGAGAAAAATGAATTATAATTTTAATGGTTAAATGGGAACTTAATTTTTTATTTTTCTCTATAATATTTCTCAACAAAATTACTTCCACACAATGCTCCAATTTATTTAATTCAAAGTCTTGAGGGAGAAATTCCTGTTAAATCAAGATATGACTTAAGTAATGTGAAAGCAATTAATAAATTCTTGTGATTCTTCCTGGCTGGATATTTTCCATATATTTTACGTCTTCTAATAATAAAACGAAATGGAGTCCTAGTCAAAGCATCAATTAATTAATTAAACTTTTCAATTTGATTTAATCCGTAGAATAATGTTATGTAGTCTCATTGATGTTGGAATTTCAATCTAGGTGACGCTAAATCATATACTAAATTAAATGTGAAAGTAAAAAAAAATCATTTAATTTCATTTAATGTCACATTGACGTCACCTAGGGACTGTAATCCCAACAGACCTAAATGCATTAGTCTAATTCGTATTATGATTATCTTTGGTATTTAATTCTGCACCTAATATAATTGGTTAGGTGAGCCACAACCAACAAGGGATTACTAAGTACGGTTACATGTGAAAGCAAAAATACTTATAATTTTAATTTGAGGGGGTAAATGCGTTAGTACATTATGGTCTTCTTTTGTTATCTCGATCTCTCTTATTTGATATTTACAATATTGTGTCGTTATTATTGTACGTACAATTTATTATTTATAAATATTTCTTCAATTACTACACGATGAGTAAATATTCTTTTCTTATTTGATATTCACAATCTCGTGTTGACTTATTATTTATAACTCCTCATTTATTGACTCGACTACACAAGTGGTAATCGTCTTTCTTATTTGATTCACAACATATCATGGTTGTTGGCAGATATACGACTTGTTATTATTAGAAGTTCTTTCAACATTTCATATTGTCGTATCTTAATTTTATTTAATATGACGTAGACAATTTAGTGTAAGCTTAAACAAATTAAGCAAATAAATGAATAGAACCATTATTTTTGGACACCAATTACACGTAGGGTGAGTTGACATTTAGCATAAACAATTGGATGGATGATAAACTCTTGACAAGAGAGGTGAATTTCCAACCATCATTTATTAAATTATTAAAAGGACTAATTTCTTAATTAATCATTTGTTCAATGATCGCAATTGCAAATTTAGTCAAATAATAATAATAATAATATTATTATTATTAAATAAATAGTTATTATATATGCCATCAATTGAGCAAGAAATGCTATAATTTGATCCACTCTTTGACTCTTTCAATTTATAAATGATGTTAGCTGAAAATCTAATTAAACAACATTCATGAAGTTAAATAACAATGATTTTAAAAAGTTAGCATACAAAAAGAAAGAGAATAAAAGCAGCATTTTCATGTTAAAGATTCAAAAATTAGCCGGTGAGGCACCAATATTTTGCTCTTTACAATCATATTTCTTTTGTGGAGCATATACAATAGAAGATTTTGTCATTCTACGTGACTTTCTTATTTTTCTAGTTGAAATCTTTTATTAATCTCGTTTTTCATGATCTATGTTTAACCGTTGGGAAATATAGAAACTCATACAATTCAAGAAAGAAAACCACTTTCATTTCTTGCCATGTGCAATAGATCTTGATTTTGCATCTTTCATACTATTTTTAAGCTTCTATAAACTCCAGCTTTCAAGAAAATATTAAAATCCCATAATTAAAATAATTCATATTATGCATTATTTATTCAATTAAATATTCACGTTTCTCGATTTTCTTCCACTTGGCATTCTTTCCTTTCAAACTCATTCATCTCCCTCGTAGTTTCTTGGAAATTTCTTGATCCATGACAACATTTAAATATACTTATAAGCTGTTTTCAGCTTTTAATCATATGCATTCATATAATGCTGCACAAGGCACATGCTTAGTGGTGGCAATCGGCTCGGCCCATCTACCCATGAGCTCAGCTCGTCAAAGTGACTAGCCGAGCTCAAGCTCGTTCGAGTCCAGGCCGAACCGAGCTGAGCTCGTGGTTCTTTATTTTATTTTATTTTTAGTTTTTTTCTCACATTTTTTATAAGCCCACGAGCGTGGCTCGCGGGCTCGGCTTGTGGCTCAACCACGAGCCGCTCATCAAAACAACGAGACGAGCAGGCTCGGCTCGCCTACCGATCCAACCTGCTTGGTTGGGGCTCGGGCTCGTCTTTTTTGACGAGTCCAAGGGGCTCACGAGCCGAGAGGCCGAACCAACAAGTCGCTCAGCTCGATTGCCACCTCTGACATGCTACGTAGTTTAAGTGCATATCTTCATTATTTTGAATAAGCCAAGGTATTTTTGCTTTGCTGTTATGATTCTCTTTTGATAGAAACAATACAAGGATGCGAGAAAAAGTTGTACTAAAGAAAACATGTGAATAGTGATATGATGCACATGCATTCTAGCTTTTTCTTTCTTGATTATTTCTCGTTTTCACATCTACCCAGTGTTTTCAGAAATTTCTGATTCTTTCATGGACAACCTGTTTTTTCCATTTCCCATTTGGGCACATGAACAAGCTACAGAATATTCATTTATTGGTGTTCTAAGATTTTGTATTAGGATTCTTGTAATAATGATTAGCATAGATAATTCCTACATCCGTGATTGACAAAAATGGGAAAAAAAAAAATTAGGTTTTAGGGTTGTACTCTATATTGAAAATTCTATTTGTACAATCGAGATTGACAACCTCTCACATGTGTGTGGAGTCCGCATGTTTAAAAAATTCAAAAAAAAAAAAAGTAGACCTCCCATATGAGTGGTTGTCAACTGAGGTTGTACAACTAGCATGACTCTACTCATTGGTGGAGGTCTTGTCCATGCCCACCTCCTTTAAAAAAAAAAAATTTTTTTTTGGTTATATACCCATTGTTTTTCCACCATTCAAGCCCAGTAGTCCACTGTTGAAAATTTTTGCCCCCCGTACCATTAAATCCTGGCTCCGCCCCTGGCTCTACTCTATATTCCCTAGGTGTATGTATACATGCTAATTTATAAATAACGATCTTGAGGAAAGCATACTTGTTTTGAAGAAATCGTCTTGTATTGGATTTTATATATTAAGTCCGAGTCTCTACTAGCAAGAGCAATAAGAAAACACGAAACAAGCAACATACATGGATTTATAGTAATTTATATTCAAGGTCTCAGTTAGGCACACTAAAATAAAATAACCTCATATAAATATCATAAACTGTATTAATGGAATATAAAAAATATATATAATTATTGTCAAGTGAATAATATGATGAAGTTTATACATTGAAGGATAGATATTAATATATTTGATCTCCTGTCCACGGTGAACAAGATAAAAAACTTCTCACTATTGACGTGACAAAATAATCTTACTTATGATTCTCTGCAACAATCATACATGCAAATAACCATACTTAAAATTCTCTCCAGAGTTTTTATCTTGCCCATTGGGAGGCAAGAGATCAATTTTATAGATACCAAATCACAAATTAGTAGTGGATAAAATGTTAATGGATACTTGTGTTCTACTAGAATTCATAACGTATGAATATCAAAATTATAAAATGAAAATTTATTGTCTATCTTGGGAGAATTTATTAAATTTTTTTTTTTATCAAAATCATTTTCAATTACACATTCATAGGGACCCATAATTTTTCATACTTTTTAATGATACATTCTTTTAAAAAATCATTTTTCACTTGAAAAAAATTCCCTGCCAAACAAATTCTTAATAAAGGTGGAAAAAATATTTATACATGTCCTTGAACTGAAAAGAGTTTCCAAAAGAAGAATATACACTCAAACAAACTATGGTTGGCATGGTGCGAAAATGTCAAGACTAAAGGAAATAACTCAATATTATGGTCCGAAGCAATAATGGATAGTGAAATATATGAACCAAGGACTAGGAGTAAACAAAAAACTCAAAACACAATGAACAAAATTTGAACGTATTTTCCTTTTTCTCTACTGCTGAATGTCGTCAATTCATCTTACCAAATTATAAATAGACTGATCCTGATCCTGATACAAGTTGTGTTACAAAACCTGCTAAATATACCAAGGCCAAAATTCGAAAAATAGTGAGAAAAATTCACAAATCTATTACACTTTTAAGCCATCTTTGTCTTCCTCTTCTGCTTTTTCTGCTTTTTATACTGTTCGTAGAGGTTCAATGACAAAGTTGTTCGCTCCAATTCACCCCTTAATCTCTGGTTCTCTGTAATATCACGAAGTAGCAAAAAATGCTCGGTAAGTTTCTTTCTAACCTCATTCTCGTCAGATTGGTGCTTCATATTTACATCTGGCCGAACTTTAACAGAAGAGAGTTTGTCCTTTCCAGGCTTTCTTTTTTTGTTTGATATTTTTATACCACCTGATGGAACAATCGACTCCTGCTCCAGTGAGGATTCCTTAAAAGCTTGTTGGGGTGAGACGATGGAATGATAAACCTGATTATTTGCGCAGCCCATGGTCGAAATACCAGAAGCCATAGTAGAAATCGCTGGATTATAATGTTTTGTTAGAAGGTTCAGCTCCCAAAGAACTGAAGCTAGTGCACCACTAAGGTTAGGGTCTGAAGCATATGGCTGATATTTCTGCGAGTAACATAAAACCACAGACGTCAACAAACTGAATTGACAGAATGCATATTTTCAATCCAATGTGAGATATACAAGGACTAACCACAATTGCTCCAGCAAAAGAACCACCTCCAGCATCATTTTCCAAAAGATTACGGCATTTCACATTCTTCTGGAGAAGATGCTTTACGGTAACTAGAGCTGAAATATTTTACAAGAAAGAAACATATTAGATATGGAACAGAAAAATAATAGAATATTTTTTAGCATAGCATAATGACATGTTTAATAAGGATGAAGGACAGTACTGCACAGTATTATAGAAAGAAAATAGTTAAAATCTTGTTGATTATACTATCCCAAACATGCACTAAAAGTTCTGAAGTTAACTAACCAGCCATGGACTCGGCCGACCCAAAGCACAGTGAGAACGTGGCTAAACGTTTTATGAATGCAGCAGCCCTTTGCATATCATGTTGTCTATCATCACACAGCATTATCTTCAGAGCTTCAGCTAATATCTCACCCTGATCCCTGCTCACAAACACATTAGGAATTTCAAGCCAATAGGCATTTTGCAGTAAAAAGATACAAATACAAATCTGCTCCCCCACAAACAATAGGTGTCTCTCTCTACTTTCAACTTCTGGAAATGGAAAATTAAATAAAACAATAACAAGAAAAAAATGGAGCAAGGAAATGGAATGTAGAGATGAGAAAACAGGGGGACAATATACCACAAATTAATGCACATTAATGAAAGAATTACAAGTCAAGTTGCCAAAGTATCAGCTTTTTGCCCAAAATACAAAACACAGTGGATGCTACCGGATGGAGAGAGCAAATGCAACTCAGAAAAGTGAAACAAGCTTCTAAGCCAGCTAAGTGTACTTCACCATCATTCTTCAGAAAACAATGTGCAGTATATTTACGTCTAGCAAGGATGAAATGAGAAACAATTCTTATAAGACCAGATGAAATGATACACATAACAATCTCCTCCTTATAAGCGCATTCAATAGCTAACCAATAAACTCTGAAGTTAGACAATTTGAGTAGAAAATATATAGCAAACTACAGTTTTCTGCTCTGATGATGAAGTAAAATTTTAATAATTAAGAACACCAAAGAACAAAAAATGAATAAGCAGGATAATCAAGCAATTCTCTGAATCTGATAAATGTAAATAATTTTGACAGTAATAAATATACCTTCCGGGCCGGTACTCCAGAATTAGAGTGTAAAACTGGACAAAGAAATCCTGTAAATCAACATTTAGAGCATCCAGATTGTTCTTCATCACTTTAAAAGCAACAATGCAGCACAGCAACCGTTCAGATACTGTTAGATAGTTTGAAGAATTCTCGGATAAATCCCCCGACTTGCTGCTCTTTCCAGCAAGCTTCCTCAGATAATTCATGAGGTCGGCCATAAAATCCAAGTCAATTAGGTGAGAAAACTTTCCAATTCCATTCAAACATGGTGCAAGTAAGGGGTGGCTCCCAGATGCACCAAGTAAGGAACTGGCTTCTGATCTGAGAACCCAAAAAATAAAAAGGTATATAAGAGAAGCTGCCCTGGCCAAAATAACAGATTTGAAAGGGAAAACAACATTTCTGTACCAAGAATTTGTTTGTTAATGAAGTATGATGGTATACAGAAAATGCGTCACAGTTAACACTTGCATCAAAAAATTAGTGCTTCACAGATTAAAAATGAGTGAAGCCCCAGTAAAAAAATTGGTGTTAACATTTTATAATATAATCCCAAAAGGTAACAAGAAATAACATGGGGGACATTGGTCAAACTAAACTACACAGGAACAGGCAAATTTGGTAAAGAGTGTTAGAGAAGAAAGATTTAGATTCTTCAACAATAAAGAGGTCATCAATACAAAAATAATTACTTGAAATAGACATTAATACAGTGCACCCAGTAACATAAAAAAGCATTTACAATTCCATCATCAATTTCTGATTGCACAATTCATTAGGACAGCCTTTTGCAACTTCTAATCATGCAAAAACTTTAAGAAACGTAAAATCTACGTGCAATTTTAAGCTAATTGAGGACATTTACAAATTCTATTTTTTAATTACTTGCTTTATTAGATTACTTCAGGACTGCAGGACAATCAGCACTTTTGCCAAAAACAAGGGCATAAATTGCTATTAAGCATAATGACATTTTCTCAACTTGAAAGCAGAGATATCCACATAAAAGACCAAAAAAAGGAAAAAGAAAACTTACGTCGGGTGCATTGTATGCTTTAAGATACGGAAGAATGTTTGAAATACAGCTGAAAGAGTCTGAGACTGCATCCTTCTCCGCTCTGAAAGATCTTGGGTGAACGAAGCAGCCTTGAAGTCTGCATTAACCTGTTCAGACCTTAAATACATAAAAACAATGACAAGAAATTGAAAAAATTTACTTCTTGTGGGAGAGTCACTATACCTCGTCTCTTGTCCTTGTCATCATCTCTTGCCTAGTTTTCTTCTTCCCATTATCTGGCAAGTGATTTGGCTCTTCAAAACCCTTTCTCTTCTTAGACTTTTTGTTTTTGCTTTTACCATCCACATCGGCAACATGAGGTTTTCCAAGATCCTCATCAAATGATAGAGACAAAAAGACCTGAAAGGACCGTGCAACTTATCAAAGGGTTTGAGCATTTATAATACAAACTTCAGATTACAATCCAACATTTGATTATATCCATCTGCACACTATCTTGACAAACTATCCAGAAGAAATTTCAAGGCAGCAACCACAAAGATACAGGTCGAGTACAAATATTACAATCTTTAACCACTTCGCTCAAATCTTAAGACTTTGTGAACTTCTCTGTCAAATGGAAGTTCAGTGGACATGATAAATAATGTACTACATTAGCCACAATCAGGTTTTGGGCACCAGTGCATTGAGGCTTTCCAAATTTTTTCTTTTTTCCTTTTTGGATTTTGGTGGGGGTGGGGGTGGGTGCAGATTCAATAAAAATATAAACCTCATAACATTCATACTACCGAAAGAAGGAAAAGATAGACAAGTAATTTTTCACAGCAGCACTTTTTGACCTTCAGAAATAGGTTTTTAGCGAGAGAAATGAATCCAAGCAACTGTATTTCTGTTCCTAAACAATCTGAATTCAACATGTTAAACAAGGGGGATTACAGAGCACTAGACATTACAAAGAAAAATAAGTTAAAACATGGAATTATTATGTGGCAACTAGGAATGTATCAGCCAATTGGGCTTGGGTGGGCCCAAATAAAAAATTGCAAGGATTTTTTGTGGTTTTTTTCTCGAGTTGGGTTCTGGTTTTTTGACTATATCTGTTAATTTATATATGGTTTAGCAGTATCAGTGAATTTTGATTCTGGGGGTTCCTGTTCAAGTCTTCTGCTGATCTGGGTTTAGCTCATAATTACGTTTAATGACTGAAATTGAAGCTGGTGACTGCAATTTTCAGTTAAGTGGAAGTTGACTGGGGTGACACGGCATTGATTCCAGCAATACAATATTAATTCCAATTTTCACTAATTCATCTATACTGCATTGCCTACAAGGTTTAACATTTAAGGAGGTTATTGTTAGCTACAGCTAAAAATGGAAATGAAAAGGCAGGACTGGGTAGAAACAAAAATCACAAACAAAAGCCACAGAATGCACGTGGTTGGTGAGTCAGAATACCTCCCAGCGTGTCATTAAAATTTTCATTTAGCTCCCGTCACTTCTTTCAGAATCATAAGGTTTGTCTCTTAAGTTGAAGTACTACTACATATAGATAAAGTTGAGCAGAAAACTGCAAAATATTCTCGCATTTTCCCTTTAATAGAAAGCTACTGGGTTTTCTTTTGTTCCAGAGGAAAGGTTAGTTTGCTAGCATAGACTTGGCTTGTTTTCACAGTGGTAAAACAAATCAACAAGGAATATCTATCGAAACAAATGCCAATTACATTTACATCAAGCAGAATAAGAAGAAAATTTATCACTTGATTGTGGCTTTCACAAAATGCTCTTCATTATAGTATAACAAACCTTCTATTACAAAGAACAATTCCCTTTTTCTTTCAGAAGTAAAAACCACGAAGTTTATTTATTAGCACTAATTCCATGGAAACACAAAATCTCATGTCCAGACCTGCAACACGCAGCAACAAAAATCTCCAATATTTTTCATCCTCGATAAGTTTTGACTGTTCACCTGATCTATAGCATAACACAACTTTGTCTTTTGTAAACACACCCCATGTGTATGTAAAGTCTGTAAAAACCATTATTGTTCCAACAATAATTTTTTTGTTTTTGTTTTAAAATATATAAATTTTCTCGTCCCTTTGAATCTGTCTAAAATAAAATTTATACCACCCCCCAAAAAGAAAATCCCCCACCTGGGCTGATGAATCCTCACTAGATCCCTGGAGGCAACTCACATCACAGATAAATATTGTGAACACATGGAGAAATGTTAAGATAACGCATTAGCATTAACACTTACAGATCTCCATAAATACACAGAGTCAATATTTCACGCTAGACGGCCATGATGATACCAAGAACATCATCAAGTTCATTGCACACTGGGTTTGAGCATTGTATGTTACACCAAACAAGAATGTTGGTGAGAGAACTAATATTTATCCCATCAAAAAAAAAAAAAAAAAGAGAACTAATATTTATAACTGGTTGCTCCAACTTTTAGATGTGCGTTAAATTTGGAATTGTAATGTGCAAAATGCAAAAACCAATCCAAAATTTATAAGGCACAGAATCATAAAACCCTGATCACAAGAAAAGATTCCTTACTTGAACAGAGTCAGGATGTAGTTGGCAATCACTAGTTTTTACAAGTTCAGCAATCATTTGAACAGCCTCTACAGTAGCCTCGCCACCATGTTTCCCCTCATTGATAAAGAGTGACTTAACAGTAGCACAACAGAGATTTCTGCCAAAAACAAGATGCATGTGCACTTGAGATAACAGATGGGGTAATGCTGACACCAATTGTGCAATGTAAGAAACTTAGAGAAAACCAAATCATTCTTTTGATAAGGACAAGAGAGAAGTCAATGTCTAAACAATTTTCATAATTTTAGAAAACAATAGTAAGACATTTATAAGCAAGCCGGTAATACACAAGAAGTGTATTATCAATTTACACAAGAAAGAAATAACATCAAATTAGGCCGCCCTTCTACAGGATTATTAGTCGTAGCATTAAACAAGTATACAAAGTCTGATAAAACAATTCTCTGATTTGCTCTACCGTCCGTGTTTGATCTTCAAAACAACGGTTGTTTCCTTTCTCTCCACACACACCATACAATGCAGTCCGAAATAAGGTCCCAAACAAGCTTGCTATCCTTACACAAAACTTTCTCCTCCATGCTCGCACCACATCCTCCGTACGCCTAGGTAACACATAATCCATATGTTGAGAAGCTAGAATATCGTTCCACAGCCAACGAACACCATCATAATGAATGAACAAGTGGTCAATCATCTCCCCATCCCTCTTACACATATAAACACCACTCGATAACATAAAAACACTTTCTTCTGAGATTATCCACATTTAACACTTGTTCCCTCACGACCGTCCACAATAAAAAAGGCAACCCATAGAGACAATTTACATTACCATACCATCTTCAAGGGGAATGAACTCTCCACAGGTCCCCAACCTTCACCTGCTACAATAACCCTCTCGTACCCAGATGTGCACCTCATGCAAGGAGTTCAAAAACAACGCATTATCATACTAAACATCAATTTATTCAATTAGATTTGACATAAAGAAACCCATAGTACAATCTGCTGGTTCTATAATAAACATAGGATATTCCCACATATGATTAGCACCCTACATTCCTGTGATTGCAATGACAATGCAGAATTCTACCATGGAACACCAAAAGGAAAAGAGAGTAATAGCATAAAAAATAAAATTGCTCTCAATAGAAAATTAATGAGCAAAGACAATAAAAGGGAAGTGAGTTATTTACAAATCACGTGCAATTTCTATGCCAGTTAGACAGACCATTACGAATGCCATAACGACATTTGAAAAGAGAAAAAACCAATACATTTGTGGGAACAATTATAAGCAAAGGAGAAAGAATATGGATGACCTGACAACATCATCTTGGGAGCTTATGTTTCTTACTACAGCAGCCAACAAGTTTTCACGGAAGTTGAAGTGGGGAACTGCTGAAAGCAGAGTACATATACACCGAACAGACACTCGCTTATAGATAGTCTGCTGTTCTATTGCTATCAACCTCTGGACATAGGCCTATTCATAGTAAGACATAAAAACCCATTAAGCTTGATTATCATTGTAAAGCAAGGTTTATTTCTCAACAAGTGCGTGTGTGCATATATGTGTATGTTGAGGTGCTACTAGAACCTACAACAAAAATTTAAATGGTCATCTATTTTTAATTTCCCTTGAAATGAATGGACGAAGCACCACATCTAACCTTGTATGAAGACAAGAGGGTGGACTCATAGAGGCGCATTTTTTTAACTTCCTTGGAAACTTTCATTTCTTGCTCCTTTTCCGTTGGCAGCCTGATCCGGTAGCTGCAATATCATGAAAATATAATGTAAATGCATATTTCATGCAAACAGAAAAGTGGGAAAACGTAAGAAAACACAAGTACTAACTAAAGTGACATTATTACCCTGGAACTATGTCTTTGAAAACAGCAAGCAAAGACTTTAGACCAAGTACGACTATTGCTCTGTTTCCATCTTTAGAAATCTCCAGCATCTCCCTTAGAGACTTAATGTTTGATTCTGGATCTGCAAGCAGCGCCATTCCTAGCTCAGCAAGTTTATACTTCTTGCTCTCATTGGCTTCTTCAGCTGTTAGATCATTTTTCACCTCATCCTGTACACAGTCGCATATTTTAACTAAATAAAACATGTAAACAATAATCATAGTTAGAAAGAACATTTTGGTTTCTCATCAAAATCTCGAGACTATAATTCAGGGGAAACCAAAGTTGTCAAATTTTGACAAAATAATTACAAAACTAGTTCATTCGAAACTAGATTGCAAAAGATCCAAAGTCTAGACTGCAAACTCCATAGAACAGTGACTTCACACACAAAAACCTCAAAATTTCCGTACAACATATATTTCCTGTTGAATATCCCTTCTGAAATGATTTCTGAAATCTGTCCACTAAATTTTCCAACATACATAGATTTTTAGAATCTGCAAATTCAGTTACACTTTAGCATTCTGACGAAACATACACCTTACTGTACGACCTGTCATATCTATTCACAAATTGCAATTCCAAACTCTTTCTGTGAACCAGAACTAACGGTTTTTCAAGGTAAATCTAGCATAGACGTTGATTTTCAAATTTGATGATAAATGAATTATAAAATGCTAATATCATAACTTAAGAAGATCTCATATTAGCATGTAAAGAATAATCAGTAAGAAATTGAGTGATATACTCCATTCAATCACTAGTTATTTCATTCTCATATCCTCACATGGATGTCATTAGTGTAATCCAATCAAACAAGCTGTACATAAAAATGCATACCAAAACATCTGCTTGAGGAGTTTGTTGCACTTCCTCTTTCGCTTGTTTCTTTGCCTCTTTCCTTGATTTCTTAAGCTTGGCTCGCTTTTCTGCTTTTGTCAACTTCGCCAAACCCATGTCATGTCCGGTGGCATCACCTTCATTAGACTCACTTTCAACTTTTTTAATCTCCCTGGGCACTGAAAAATCAAACCGAATTTTATTTTTGCATTTAAAGTAGCAAAGACAACAAATTTTCACCAGTAACAAATATTAGAATAATACCTGTTCTATAGTAGAGTTTTCCATCTAAGGTTTTTACAGGTAGCGCATCAACAGGATCAACCTCAATTGCGTTTTCCTCTATTTTCTTATTTGGCTGTTTCTTTCTTAACCTTTTCTCGTACAATGACTCCAAAGCATCCTCTTTCACATCCGCCACTCGCGTAACGTGCCTGTTCATAATTTTAATCAGAAAAGTATTTTCGATGGACACATAATTAAACTACAACATTTTTTATCTTCTAATACGTAGTAATTTTTTGGTTTATGAGGCCTATATTTTTGGAATATTGGAGAGGCAAACCAAGAACATGAAGGATGCCAAATGGCCTCTTCCACCAAGATTCTTCATCACCCAAAAGAGAAATAAAAAACAACCAAATACAAAACCGGACGAGCCACGGCATCCGATAACAGAATAGAAAAAAAAATTAAGAATACACAGATTTGTCAATGAATTAGCACCTCATTCAAGGACCTAAACATGTTTCACAACTTATCTCCAGAGTCCAATGAGTTGAACCCTAGGAATTCAGATCTTCATTTTGTATGCCTCAAACTGTAAGCAAACTGGTTCAAGAAACAATTGTGTAGAAATTTTGGAGTCCAAACAGAACATTTTGGGAAAATTCAGGGGGTTACCTGAGCCCTGTTTGAGCCACATTAAAATTCACATTCTCATTCTTCTGCTAATTTTCAACCACACATTCTTCAATAATCCATCACATCAATAACTTTTCTTTCTTTTTCAACCACACATTTTCCATCAATCTACTGTTCCAAAATACATTCTTCCAAAATAATGTGGCTCAAACACACCCTAAATGTCAAAACTTATATTTGGATACCAACAAAAAGAAGACTTTTAAAAATCAGGTGATTTAGATAAGAATGAAGTTTCGAATTCATCCAAATCTTTGACATTTATTTTCAATTAGAATGAAGCAAACTCAGATCAGATATAGAATTAACATATACAGAAATCATTATTTGAGAGGACACTCGTGATTGTAAGTTTCAACTTTGGTCTGTCACAAGAATGAATAAATCCTCATCCTACATGGTACATACTAAATAACATCAAAATTAATCCAGTGACGTGCATTTAACCAAGTAAATTTCAAATCAAGTACTAATGAAAGAATACCAAAATGTTAATTATCATGAGAGAGAGAAGTTCTTGATCCTATTATTTGGTGCACCGATATGATTGAGCTAAGTTCCACAAAAATATATTTATACTAGAGTTGCTTGTGAATTTTGCTCTCCTGGAATCCTAAATGAATGTTAAATTAGCATAAGAGAGAGAAGTGATTGATCCTATTCTTTGGTGAACTGAAATGATTGAGCTAAGTTCCACAAAAATAAATTTATACTAGAGTTGCTTGTGGATTTTCTCTCCTCGTTTCATAAAATAAATCTTGGCAGCAAATGCACGCAAAGGCATGATATCAGGTTAAATGACTGACAAGTGGCTTATAGTGATGATATTCATTTCCAAATCATTCAACACACTGAAAATATCATTGAGCATACACACATCGAGATGCAACATAAAATCAAAGAAGCAAAATTGGTGGCAAAATAGATTGATCTTAGGCCAGTAACCCAGTAATTGGTTCCTCTTTTCACATAGCTAGAATGCAGGAAATTCATTATTTAGGCATGTTTTCAAAAAATTGCCATTAACAAAACACGACAAAGAAGCAAAATTGGTGGCAAAATAGATTGATCTTAGGCCAGTAACCCAGTAATTGGTTCCTCTTTTCACATAGCTAGAATGCAGGAAATTCATTATTTAGGCATGTTATCAAAAAATTGCCATTAACAAAACACGACAAAGAAGCAAAAGCAACAAAAACAAGGAGCAGGAGCAGGAAAATTCTAATCCATCAAAAAACATTAAAAAAAGCCTTACTTTGTAATTGAATGAGTGTCCAAATTCGATACGAATCCTGCATAGTCCAAATTTTGGTTGACAAATTGCAAGTCCTCATCAGAAACTTCAATATCTTTGTCCAGAACTTCCGGTGGAAGCTCCGGTGGCAATACTACCTTTTGCTTTTTCTTCCCCATTTACTCACGCTGCTATCTGGAACTTGAAAAACTAATGTCAAATGTAGGGAAGAGGATTAATGTTACGAGTGAAAAACCCTAAACCCTAATTCATGTGGAATACCCAATGAAGACGATAATCGAACCAGATTTTACTTGGGCCTGACATATACCAAGCCCAATAGTTAAATGCCTGGTGGGCATTGTTTAAGTTATATGGGCTGATATATAGCCCAAATAATGTAGGACAACTTACAAAAATATCCTTAAAATTAGGGCCTTTTGAAAAATCATATGAAAATTATTTTAAAAGCAACAAATACTGTGTCAAAAAGTGACACAATTTCGCTTTTTAAGTTAAGTATTACTTTTTTATTAAAAAATGACATACAATCTTGCTTTTATTAAAAAGTGACACAAATTTTAAGAAAGTGATAGGAAAAAAGTGACAAAACCTTATAAAAAGGCACAAAAATTCCAAAAAGTGAAACATTCAAAAAGTGGCAAAACACTAATCAAAACCTTAGAATCGGTTTAATAAAGTGACAGAAGTTAAAAAAGTCACGACTAAAAAAAGTGACAAAACATCAATCAAAACTTTGGAATCAATTTAATAAAGTGACGGAAATTAATAAATGATAAAAACTAAAAAAAGTGAGGAAACACTTATCACTTTTTTGGGTGAATTGTATCACTTTTTAATCTTTAATCTCTGCACATTTCTGTAAGATCATTTATTTCGCTTCTCGACACTAATATCGTGTGAACCTAACCCTACCCTTACAGCCACCATCACATTGTCAAACTAATACCACGCAATAGCTCCAACGTCATTGACACCCTCCATAATCGTGATTGCTGTCTTTCATCATCAATTTGTGGCGCTACTGTCGAAATCAGTTACTCTCCCACCCCATTTTGAAATGAATTGCAGTCAATTTAAAATCAAAATGAAACGTGAGATTGGCATCAACATAAGGAACTTCATAAAACTAACCAAAGATAATATGTATAAAAAATTCAAAGCTCAGTGTATAACCTTTTAAATAAAAAGTGCATTATGTCACTTTATAATGCATAACATATAGAAAACAAACAAAAATAAAAAGGCTTAACAATTTAAATTCTTAGCTGAAATTGTAATACGTATATAAGCGAAACATGAGCTACTGTCTTTTTTCGTAAATTCATAGCGCGACGCCGCCGCCATTGAAATTAGTAGAATCAATTAATTAAAGAAAAAAAAGACTTGGATATGATCATTCAAGTTATACTTAAAAGGAAAAAGATTCAAACAAGGAAAAAAAGGCAACGTACCCGAATACAGGCTTCTTATCCTAAATATTGTTGGAAAAACCACTTTATATATATGAAGAATTTTTTCATAGATTTTGCATGCAAGTATAGCCCAGATTTCACGAGGCTTTGCAAAAAAAACAGAGAGAAAATAATTCTAGAATATAATACAATGGAATATATTTTGTAAACCTTAGGCAGTATCTAATAGTCAGTGGCAATTGACGAAGTGGCAACCGTAATTGTGGCAGCGGCGACTGGCGAGTAGGCGAGGGTTTTGAGAGGCTCAATGTATATAATACGATATTAATTTACAGTTGTGTAGTAATCAATTTCTTCAATTAAAGAACGTAATGAGCATAATTTCCCCAATAATGTATTTTTCTTTGTACACTCAAAAAATAATAAATTAGAATAACACACTTACAACTAATTAAAATCTTTTAACCCTTAAATAATACGTTCAAAAAACCCAAAATCTCAAACCCCCAAATCAAAACCCCCAAATCATCTCAAAATCATCCAACTCACGAAGAATTCCAAAACTCTTGCTGAGAGACTCTCACCCACGAGCTGATTCAACCACCAAACCCCAAAATTACAAGAAGTCCCAAATCAAAACCCACAAAATTAGAAACTTTGGTGATTGTGCTTCTAAATTTTATTGATAAATAGACCAGTGACAAAAAAAAAAGCTTCCTCTTATTGGTCTCATCAGGTTTGTTCACTACACATTTATTGAAGAAATTATATGACATTGAAATTCGTAGATAGGTAAACCTTTTCATGTTATATTCTTTTTTATGCAATTTTTTTCTGAATAGACTAAAAAAGTTCGAAACCAGCTCTATAACTTTTTCTTTTTAAGTTCGAAAATAAGAATTGAATTAAAACCACATGACATGTATTGCATTCTCGGATAGGTTTCTTGAATTTAAATCATAGGTTTATATAATATTCCATATTTCTGTATGTAATTCATGATTTTTATGTGAATGACCTCTTTGTCTAGCAAAAAGGGGATTGCAATGGGACGCCTTCTCTTGCTACCAAACCATGTGCGAGGCGTGGATTATTGTGGTTTCCTAATTAGTTTTCACGTAGAGTTTAGGTATTTACAACAATACCATACATTATGGTCTAGAATTGACTGTGGGTACTTGGTTCATAGTTACCTTTTTGTCAATATATTTTTTTAGCAGCATATTATTATGCAATAATTGATTATACTCTCCAATTGTTTGCATTATCTTTTTATATAGGTAACTTTTTCCTTATAAAGTATGTCAAAGAGTAATTTATTGTTTACACCATTCATTTGACAAAAGGTACTTGAATTCTTGTAGGATGTGTATGAGAAGATGAATAGTGTGTTTTCTCCCTTCCTCTCGGGGCTTCAATCTGAAGGTTGGCATACCAATCGTTTTCTTGGTGGGACAGGATGTCTTTATTCTTTATAGTGTCGTAGTACATGTAAATTCCTAGACTTTCAAAAAAAATTTCCATTTATGAGTTTCTGTATCTTTAATGTCCATTGTTAAAAGTTTTCCTAATCTAAGGCTGCTTAGATAGTTAAATTATCTCACTTGCATGATTACTAATGCTGTTACCCTACTACTTTAATCAATATTTGAAATGGAGTAATGCATCATTCTCTAGTAACACTTGAAATGAAAACATGATGTACAGATAAAGTTAACTCCAATTCAGACCAACCCAATATCAGACTTTGCCCCCTTACTAACTCCAATTCACACTTCACAGAATCACAAGGCAATACTATATTCAATTCACATTTCACAGGGCAATATCAAATCACTAATGACTAACCACCAGAAATTGTGCAATTCACACTTCACAAATCAATTGAAAATCAATGTGTTAAACTCACAGTCACAGAGGTAGCAAAACTGGAAGTCTGGAGACTGGAACTGGAAGACTGGAAATTGAAGTCAGGCGAAATCAATTGAAGAGCATTGTGTTAAAAAGAAACAAAATCAAATATTATTACAATTTACACAAATCAAAATTAAAAAAAAAGGGGAAAACGAGGCACGACGGAACAGGCGAGGGTCGTGAGGCTTCACGCCTTCACCTAAATCATAATTCCTAATCACCTTATTCTTTTGCTGCTGCCGAAGAATAGACGGCGGGTGAGGCACGACGGAGCAGGCGACTGGGCGAGCTTCGAACCAAACTCGAACGGCGGAGGCGGAGGACGTGAAGGAAGGAGGCGGATTGAGGATTCAGTGACGGGAAGCAGGGGCGAAAAATCGTTGTAAATGGTGAAGGGTTGAATTGAATGGTATTGGGCGAAATGCTAATGGGCTTCAGGGCATTACTTTAAAAAACAAAATGAGCCTTCAAATTGAGCCGGAAAGTGCAGTGCAGGCCTATGCCTGCACCGGACTTGCTTGGGCTTCGCACCTGAATTGCACGTTATTTTGAAGTGGAAATTACAGGAAACTCTACTTTTCAAGATTCATATTCAAAAATCAAATCCAAAGTTTGTTAATTCAAAAATCAAAACTTTTATTAATTAATATATTATTATTGGATAAATATATTATTAAATTAAATTAATTTGTAAATCAACCCTACCCCCTCCACCACCCCAAGTCATTTCCCCCCAAACCGTCTATCTCTATCTCTACCTCTCCTTCCTCTCGTCTGTCGTCGATCTCCCCTCTTAGCCACTGCTTTCCCTCCCCTCTCCCTCCGGTGGCTTCGACATCAGCAAGTGGAAGAAGACTCTCATCTCCCTCCGACGATCACTCAGACAGCAGCGCCTCGCGCGGCGGCGTTGCCGCTGCTTTCCCTCTCCTCTCCGCTGTTTGTTCGTTGATTTGAAGTGTTTATGGTGAAATTACGGTGGTCGACGATGCGGATATATTTTCATAAAATCAGATCTGGATCTCAAAACCAGATCGTCTTCCTCTTCCCCACCGGCTGTCTGAGTGGCGCTTCGTTTTTTTTTTTATAACAGTAGCATTCTGTAATGTTTGTATAACAGTAGCCTTAATTGGATGTTCTTGGACCCTCGTGTGTTTACTGGAGGTGGAAAATTAATTTTTACAATTTGTTTTGGTTGGATCTCTTTAGATCTACAAAGTTTTTATCAAAACCCTAAGTTTCTTTAAACTTTTGACAAAACAAAGGTTGAATAAATCTGCTATTGAAATTTTATGTGAAGAAAATTAGGGATGTTTGTTGGTGGTTGTCGTTGTGTGGTGCAGGCGGCGACAATGGTGATGGTCGTCATTTTTTGTTGTAGGTGGTTGTCGTGTCGGGGTGCAGGTGGCGGCGATGATGGTTTTGTAGTTGAAGATGTGGTTTGCTCGTTGTTGGTATGTTTGGTGGTGATGGTTTCTGGTGGAGGTGGAGATGGTTGTTGGTGGCCGTATCGGTGGTGGTGGTGGTGACGTCGTCGACTATGATGGTTTTGTAGTTGAAGATGTGGTTTGCTCGTTGTTGGTATGTTTGGTAGTGATGGTTTCTGGTGGCGGCGGCAGTGGTGGTGAGGTCGTCGGCCACCGTGTGAGGATGGTCACAAGTGGCGGTGGAGATATTGGAGGTGATAGTGGTATGTGATTCATTAGTTTACATGTGACCAGTCACCTGTGACACTTAAAATTGGGTAATTTGTGACCTTAAAATTCGAACTGTGACTCACAATTGATTAAGTTGTGACTGAAAAATTAATCCGTGGCCTATAAAATTTTTGA